AATTAATAGGGAGTGGGGTAGCTCAGTGGGTGAGCACTGATTTCCAGAGGTTCGAATCCGACTGACGACTAGTAATTTTTCATCATCCGTGGGTCGATCCTGGGGTAGGTAGACCCTCCTGGGGCAAACCCAGCCAATATAAAGAGGGTACTCTTGATTCAATAATTAATTAAGAAGGAAAACCTGGAGATTGAGCGTGATATTGGCTTATCACCTCCCTGCACAACCGTTGGCCTTGTAACAGTACTTGCTCACATTGTACTGAACCTAAGGTTGTTCATGGGATGTAGTGGTACAGGTTTTTAAATTAATTAATGGAAATTTCAACTATTTTACTCGCCTTAGTAAAATTAATTTTCTTGTTCCTGTCCATCTTCGTCATCCTCGTTTATTTTTATTTTTTCAGAAATAGCCAAATGCCTAAATTATTTGCATACTACATTTATTTGTTGAAAGATTTGTGGCCTTGGTTTGAGAAGGTTCTAACAAATTTGACTAAATTGACTATCCTGAGTGAAAAGAGTCAAATGTGCGCAATTCAACTCAACTTAAGGATAGCCAGCCATCTATAGTTAATATATCCAAATATCGATATTTTCCTCTACTACGCACTACATTCTATGAGGCAGGCAAGATGATTGTATAATTGTTTTTCGAATATCAGGTCCATATAAAATTCCTAGTGCTTTTCGGAAACGATAGTTTTAATTTTAATTTTTAAATTATAACATTAAAATACCGAAGGAACGATATAGATACTGAATAACAAAAAAAAAAAAAAAAATCCGTAAAATCTAATTTAACGATTAGCGAGAAGTAGGTGGGAGGATTGGTACAGTCTGACCTTGTAGATTAGGTTCAGAGAAATATCATTCAATTTACAACTTTCATAACTAAAGCAACAAATAAGAATCCCCAATTGAAAAATATTTTCTTTCGAAGTTCAACATATAACCTCTTTTCTTTGTAGTTAGCTTCTTACAGAAAACTTGGTTTCACCAAAAAAAAAAAAAAAAAGAAAAAAAAAAGTTGACTCGATTACTTTAAAAGTTTAAAGTTTTATCATTAAAGTACACAGTTTCTTATGACTTAAATTTCTCTCTGGTAAATTTTTCTTAACTCTAACCAAATGGCTACTAGACGAGATTTAAGTTAAATGATCGTTATCATGAACTCAGAAAATGTTTAATGTTATGTCGATATTATTATAATAGAGCTTTTAGTATAAAACTTTGATATATACACATACGCCAATTGAATTAAAAATATGTATATACCATCAATTATTTAAACGAATATAATACGAAATATCTTCAGTATTATTTTATTTTTGTAATAACAGCACAATCGAGTTCCCAGATCAAGCCATACTTTCTTGACTGAGCGTTAAAGTTCCTGACGCTTTGAGTCCTACAGTTACACCTCATCGGCCGACACCACCGCTACCTTTAATAATAATCCTTTATCTACATATTAGTACCCTTACTGTCAGGATTGCCGCTACAGTAATATTTTATTAATAAAAATTAATTTAACACAAACTTGGGGAAATTTCGGACCTAATACCCACCTCAAAAATCTTCAAATTATCTCATAAAGTAAGGGAAAAATAAAATATTCACAATACTCAAAGAACTATTAAGAATTCACTACCTTCTTTATATATTCTTTTACTAAATATTACATTTTTCAAGCTAATATACTGGTTCACAAATATGTAATCGATTCAAAATCTCATAAAAAAACGAAAAATTTCTTTCTGATGTTTTTTAATTTCACATTGTAAATTTTTATAAGCTAATTACCGATACGGATTACTTAAACACATTTTCTTTGTTTAATATTTTTAAAACTATTATTTTTTAACAGTGTTATTAGCTGGTTGATCACCGTTGCCATGGTTACCACAAAACCCGTTGAAACTGTTACAGAGTTTAATTATATACAAATATTCTTCATTAAAAAAAAAAAAAAAAATTTCTGGCCCTAGCATTTGTAATATCTTAAATAGAGGAAAAATAGAACGCAATTATTAAAAAGGTCACAGTTAAATAGCCATGTAAAATCTAAAGCCTTTTAGTAAGTATATTTTCTTTTTGTCACAAAGCTAAATGATATTCTACATTTTATCCATTCCAAAATATTGTTATTATATCAACAGATTTTTTTTATAACTTCGAATGTCCATTGATCATGTCCTAAAGTGAAGTAAATTTACTTCTCTTATAATTTCAATGCTTTATTAGAATTGAATTTAAAGCAAAATTCAGGATTTTTAAAGCAAAATGAACAAAAACTATAGCTAATCTTAGAATAAATATAAACTTAAAAAACTCTGCACAAAAATTCAAAACTTTAAAAATCAACTTAACGTGATTGAAATAATTAGATTTACATTTTTTTTATTTGAAAAAACAGATGTCTTTACTTCTAAAGAGGTGATTTTAATGGAGTCATAAGCATAAAACACGGCATCACAAGCATTTAATTCCTGTATATTGAATTTAAAACGAGGCATTGTCCTAAAACCAAAGTAATGCCAAACGATTTACTTAATTATTATGTAATTGTATATATATATATATATATATATATATTTTTTTTTTTTACGGAATTTCTTTAACCTACCTATATTATTCCATAACTATTTAAATTTAGAATTAGGTCACTTAACTATTATTTAAAATAGGGCCGTCCACCAGCACAGATATTAAACTATTCGATATATTAACAGATACAGATATTAGCAAAACAGCGAAAGATTATTCGAAATTAATGAAAAAGCTGTCACATTAGGAACCACAGAGGGTATTTCTTCCAAAATGTATAAAATGCATTTCCACCACACATTTTATATAAAAAAAAAAGAGTAGCTTAATATATTGATATATTGGGCGGTGCTGAAGATGTTGGTGTGTGTCTGGCCTGAGACATCGAGGCCCCATTTTAAAAGTATGTTGAATTTTGATAAAATTGTTATTTGAAACATATTGAAGCATAATTATGTACCAATTGAGCTATTTTTTGTTCAAGCATTGAAGAGGATCCCATTGTTTTAACTTATAAAAAAAAAAAAAAAAAAAAAAAACGGGATCGAAAAGTCGAATAAACAGCAGGATCAATGAACATTTTGTAGTTTATTGAATAATAATTAAGTGACCTAATTCCCAATTTAAATAATCGTATTAAATATATATACATACTTATAGTTACAACATGAAAAGAATATATTAATTAAAAGCATTCTCCCTTTGGATTTTAATTGGATCTATGAAGAGTTAAGACATAAGATAAAGATAAGAGGTTTGCCTATTAGCAAGCCAGTTTGTCTCATTAAGCCTTTGTTATCTTTCACTTCTCGACCACCTTCCACGTTGGTCTTAATCTTAACAGCTCTTTAACCTTATCATACAACTTTTTAAGACGCTATTTGTCACAGTATCCTGAACTTAATATCTCATTTCCGAGGGTGAAAGAAACCATTTATTTAGTACTTCACGAAGTACATCGAGTACTGGATTCTCCACTGTATAAAATATAAGCACATCTAGCATAGTTGATAAAAGATAGAAATTTAAATAACATGTTAAAGTAAAATGCCCTGATTTTCCCTATTTAATGATAGTTTTCCCCGACCAATATGTCTGGGGGCATAAATATTAAAAATTTATAATTTATAATTAAATGTATTTATTATATTTTACATGACAGAAAATTGGCAATAGATTTTAGAAAAAAAAAAAGTCTATTAAATAACAAATATGTTTTAGAAGAAGCATTATTTAAGCTTGATCAGGATTTTTTATTACTTTTTTTTCATAAGCTGAGAGGAGACTTGATATATAAAGATCTGATTTTCTCTATTATAAAATAAAATTAGCTTGGGGATTAGATTAGGATTAGAGTTAGGTTGTAATATTAATGTAGTTTCTCATAAGTAATTTAGTATCATTGTTACTATAAATAGCATAATAAATGTCCATACACCACAAAATGTGACGCTTCTTGGTTAATAAATGCTATTTTAAACAGCACCACCGGTCGAACTACAAGGAATTGAAACTACCGTAGCCACATGAATTAACGAAAAATATAATGCAAAATACAATTTAAATAATATAAAATCCTTTGTAACTGTCACTTCCCACTCCTAGCGTTAAATTCACTTTTGTGTTTAATACTGTAATAAGTATATGTAAGAGCAAACAGTTTTTCCTTGGAAGAAAATATGATGCCCACTGAAGAGAGAAGAGTCCTGGCTCAAGAATTAAACTTAAGTCTTTCAACAATTAAAAAAAAAATTGCGTATCTATTCGAGACAGCAAGCTGAATCTTTTAAATCTAATAAACTACGAAATCAGTTTTTCTCAATTTTAATTAAGGATTAAGGAAGATTTTAGTCGAAAACACTAAGAAATATTTAAAATCAATTCGCAGTGTATTTGATAAACCTCAAACTATTATTTCGTGAGGATGGATATGGTCGCCAATCTGTAATATCTATTTCCGTTAGTTAATAAACTGCCTAGGCCTGAAATAAGTAATTGAAGTAATCAAAATAAGCATTATATACCCCTTTGAGACTGAATATGCAATATAAAAATTACTTGTTTCATGGAGATATCGACACATGTTATTGAAAAAAATTATGCAAAAAAAAAAAAAAAAGAAGAAATACACTTCCATATTAATCTCGATCTTAGTGATAAGGAATACGTTGAAGAAACAAAAATGTCTGATGTCTACACAAATTACAAAAAACGAATAGCATATTATATTATAAGCAGAGGTTAAAGCATAATTATTCACTGCCTTCCGTCTTTTAGTGTTTATATATATATATATATATATATATATATATATATTTTTTTTTTTAAACTACTAATTTATTTTAAAATAAAATAAAACAAAAAACATATAACTTTCTATAAATTCTATATTTTCCAAAAAAGAAAGAAAAGAGAAAGATACGAGGAAAAGAAAATTCAGACACTAATTACCTCTGGTACCGGGGCTTCCTTGGCGAGGTCGTTTGATTTCGATTCCTCCCTGCTCAAGGAGGGCTTCGACTTGTCCTTTTTCGAGAAAGAGATCGACCTGAAGGACCACTTCTTCTTTGTCTTCTCCTTCTTCTTCTTCTCTGACTTGTCTTCTGCCTTGGCCTGCTCTTCGACCTTCTTCTCCTCAGGGGTGGTGGCGGCTACTTCCTCCTTCTTTTCGGCCTCTCCGTTCTCTGTCGCTGCCGGAGTGGCGTCGCCGGCTTCCGTTACGGCGGGAACTGTCTTTTCCGTGTTTTCGGCAGATTCTGTATTTTCGTTTGCGTTCTCCGTCGATTGGTTTTCCGTCGATTCCTGAAAAAATTAAAGAAAAAAAAAATTGAAATTAAGTAATCAATAATAATTGTACTAACATACAAAACTATAACCAAAATGGCTACAATAGATCCAAAATTACACTAGATTTAGGTTGTTTTATTTCCCTCCGGTTGTTCTCAGGTTCGAATGTTCCCCCAAAATAGTATCCTCCTAAAAATCAAACTAAGTAAAAGGTCGCCCCCCTCAAAAATTAACAAATCCGTTAACATACGGCTGACTCAAACATAGTTGGCACGATTAATCCAGTTGACTTGTACTTCGTCTTGATTGGTCAAATTATAACTTATTCTTCAGTTAATTAGCACTTAATAATTTTAAGGTAGAAAAATTATTTTAAAAAATAAATAAAATAGGAATACTTCATATTGTCGACCGTTTAATGATGTAGGTAAACATTAATTAATTTTAAAAAACGGTTAATCGAATAATCTTTCTAAATAAGCAATAACAATTTGTTGCGTTTTTTTTTTAATCCAGTAACTTCCTCTTTCTCTAGTACTATAAGTTAATTACATCAATTGTAGTTTATAATCTGAGTGGCATTTAAATATATAATATAATATGTAATGCACACAATCCACAAATTATAACTTGTCAATAAGTAGTTGAATTATTCTAAATGATCAAAATTATTTTTTTTTTTAAATAATATCTTTTCAATATAATTGTTAAAATTCAATATATAATTTTCAATCCACGAAATCAGGATTCGGGATGGTTTTAAAAAAAGATAAGATGAATCTTCGGTTTATTGCAGAACAGTTACATTTCAGAAGCAATAAGGCCATAATTCACCAAAATGTACTTAAAACACATTTTGGTGAATTATGAACTTATTCCTATATTCTCAGGAATTATCTTTGTGAAAAAGATCAAATTTAAATTAATTGCATAATGTTCTGATTTGAAAGAGGAAAAATTCATTTAAGTATTTAGTGATTTGATTCGTGAAATGTTATATAGTGACTTTTTCCAATAATAAACTTTCGATATTATTTTTTGTGAAGTTAGTCGGGAGTGCAGTCAATATATAACACTATACATTATAATATTATTTTGTTATGTTTACCAACGTTTTGAACCTATATAATAGGTCTTCATCAGAGCATTTCAGCTGGCACTGTTGGAACAAGTTAAGAGGCATAGTCATTTTTAAAATTAAAAAAACAGTGGCTTGACTTCTTCCGGCAGTGCCAGATGAAATGCCGTGATGAAGACATACAACTTGGGTCAAAACGTTAGTAAACATAATACAATACTATTATAATTATATAATATTGTTAATTTGACCTCATCCCTGAGCAACTTCTCAAATTATAATTCCGGACAATCATCTCCACGACCTTCGATATTATTGTGGTCAGAAAATAATAAGGGGAAAATAAATTTACAACAGAGCGGGCCTCATTAGGAGACCGGCTGGAAAAGGAAATAGGAAGCGAAGAGGAAGGAACAATCGAAGCACATCGCCACCACTGTCGGACACACTCGTCCGGGAAACCGAGATCATTACGGCCGACAGGGGGTCATTAAACACCATCCTCTTCATTCATTCATTTATTTTTCTGCTAAAGTATTCAACTATACAACATCGCCCAGCGCTAGCTGGCATTATTCAACAATGACGGACAGCATCCTAGGTCATCACAAAAGAGGGCTAGGCTAGGCTAAAAACATTCTAAATATGACATTTTAACGAGTAGCAATTTTATAAAACAAACGAAATGATAAAATTGATGTGATTGCGTAACTCATCATTCTCTCCGTCATTCAAAACTCAATCCAATTAAAAATAAATAAAAATGTAATAGTAACAGAAATAGACTTTTCTTATAACCGATAAATTAGGAATCATTATCCAACATTTTATTCTGCAAGGAATGCACTGTATTCCTAAAAAATCACGCCTAAGAAGACTTTAATTGGAAGAGTTTAAACAGGTAAAACTTATATATTGTTACTACTTTACATAGTGTATTGACGTAGTTTTAAGTGTTTTGTTTATAGATTATTTTTTTTTTTTTGTATATAGCTTGTTTAACTAATGTTAAACAAGAATGGTCTTCCAAACGTTGTCTTTTAATTTTGTACTATTTTGTTATTCTAAAGTTATTCAGAATAAAGTTATTTTCTATTTCTAAATGGAATTTCGAAAAATGGTAGAATGCGTCCGAAAGTAGGGGAAGGTGACGAAAAAGTAATAGTTTCACAACTTTTATTCTATGTGTTTTGTACCCTAAGAGAATTCATTTCCAAGCTAAAGGGCCACTTATAATAATTTGGTAAAAATCAGCGATCGATGACAATGATTTTCGACCATACCACTTAAACAAATTTTGTGTTTATGAACTCATTCTACGGAACATTTAAAGTTCCTTAATTTTTTTAAAGAGTAAGTTTTTCGCTTCGATGCATTTTATAGAAATTATAAATGACAAAAAAAAAATTCAAAACTAAAAGCTAAAACTAAAAGTTTTCCCTATTTTACCATATTTGTTTTTGACATGTTTGAATCCATATAGACAAGTAAAAAAAAAATTATAACTTGTCCTACATTTTTTCATCCTCAACTTATAGGCCTAATATTCTTTATATCAGGTCCATTTTTGAAAGCAACGGATCTGGAAAGACACACAAGGTTCATTTTAAAATTCCATTTATAGTATTATCACGAGATTTTGGACTGTTCAATTAAGTATAGAAATACTTGTTAATAAGTAGTACGTTGAGAAAGGAACAAATGTAACATCTTTGCCGGAAGCAGGTTTAAAAGCCGAAGACAAATATCACAAAACAATTTATCCTACCAATATGCCACCAGACTTCCAAGGAGAACCCTCTTCACAAAACACATCCGTAATGGAAATAGGAGCAAAATGAGAGATGAAAACGGGAAATTGTTTTCCCTTTGAAGGAAGTAAATTAAAGGATCGCCGTAAATGATGGAGGGTAGGGAAACTGTTCGAACCTCGCTTGCTCTATGGAAAACGCGACCGTGTAAATGTTTGTACCTCTCTGTTTATAAGAGATCCATCTACTGTCCGCTATCCAAGAGAAATCGACGGAAGTTTTGGGCTAGCGCAAGTGTTACCTTTTACATTTTTCTTTACTGTTCGTGTTATTTGAAAGAGGTTGTGTTACATTTAATGGTTCCTGGTAAGATTTGTATCAATTTTATTTGTATTTTTTTAAAAGTTAAAACAAACGCGATTCCCAATTTACTCCATATTTGTTTTTTGTTTTTTTTCTGAAAATACAGAAACGTTTAAACGTCACGATTCTTTTATACCTCTGTTAGTATTTCTGTTGTTTTGAAAATGTGTAAACCCTTTAACTAAAGTTCTGGGGAAGAGTGGGAACAAAAAAAGACCCACATGCCTTTAATGTGATTATGCGGGTTGTAACTAGACAGTCCTATATCAATTTTAATCTATTACATCGACTACTTTCGGTTACGCGGGTATAAACGTTGATTAAGCGCATCAGTGATGGACGTGACTAAGAAAACTTTTGGCTTATCCAGCCGTAATGATTTTAGTTATAAACTTCTCCATTGGTCATTTAAAATATCCAGGGCCTCATTACCTCACCACAATATTTCGAACAAAAATAAAATCAAAATCGCAGTTAATCTAAATGAATGAATAAAATATGTAAACTAAAATCAACTAAGGAAATAGGAAAAGTCGACTATATGTTGAACGTGAATTTTCATCACCACTCACTAAGCATTGTGAGTAGATAAAATTTGTTTTCCTTAAGTTCTAATTTGTTATTCATTCAATGTATTTCAGTGAAATGTATTTTATTTCTAATTATCTTCAACATACTTCTCGCTATGTGCATATATATACTTTATTTTATTTTCTCTTCTCCTAATCTTTACGCATAATCACTTAAATATCTTAGGGAACATATGTATATCATTATTTGTTTTTTTATATATTTTTTTGTTTTAGTTTTTACAATTTCTTTCCCTAGATATTAACAGTTATTATTATTTTTTTAAATTTTTATATTCCATCACTACAATGCTTTAGCTATAAAATAGATTTTACTTTCCTTTCTAATTTCATTCAGTGAATATTATGCAATTATTTTAGTTCCAATATTGTAGTACTGAACCCCTATTACCCAACTGTCCTCGTTAATTTATCCTAAGAGCTTAATTAATACTTAATGTATTACATGTATTTTGTCATTATTCATTGTAATAAGTCTTTTGACCAGATTTGTAGTTAATATATATGAACAATACTGTTATTCTAAAGGGACCTAGTCCCAGAATAAAGATGATTTTTCTATTTCTATTTCTATATGGCTTAGCTAAGGCCTAGACGTAGGTACGCAAGTATTTAATTACGTCCTATGTTCCTGTTATGGAATTTTAGTGTATATTGAAAGATTATTGTATATTGTTTAGTTTATATTGAAAGATAATTATATTGTTTATTTTATATTATATTACAGAGAGTTCACAGTGAGAAGCCTCTGGTTTGGGTCTTTGGGTTGAAGGATCCCAAAAAGAACAAGGAGATTCCTCGAGGAACTAGGTGTTGATGTCGGGAAGCTTGCGATATTGGCCGAGAATATTATTCTGGACTCCCTGGGAATCATCCACTATCACTTGTATAGCGATTGACTGTGAATTTGGGATGTCCTTTGTCATTTGTCTAGTTATTTGTTTAATTTTAATATTTTAACTTTTTTTTTCTATATTTAAAGAATTACGTAGAAATGTGTGTGCGATTTAGTCTTGTAATGTGGTATTATTAATGATATGGTATATGAGTAGTGTTGTGAAAAGGAATACAAAACAAAAATGATATGTTTACATAATAATGGAATAATATGATGTAAGACATATTTATGTCCTAATGGATTGACGATCAGTATGCTGTGTATAAACCAACGGTCAAACATTTAGTACTCAATACATATAAGTTTAGTGACCTATTATCAATTTATAATAATTA